CTGCTATTCCCCAGTATGAGGTGAGTACCTGGTTTGTGCAGTAGCCCCCAGTGAGCAGTGAAGCTGATCTCACCTGACAGTGTGGGGTGTTTGGGATGTTTGTAATGAGTCACACTGAAGCTCAGAGAGTCTTTGGCGCTTTCAATCAGCATCAGAGTGGAGCACTGAAACCACACAGAGAGATAAATAAATACACCAACAAACTCCAATGGTTCTGCTGAGGAGCAGGCGGCCATGTTGTGGGCGGGGCCTCACAGAGATGTGCGTCTTGTACACATAGTGCTCTCCGCGGCGCTTGGTGATGAGCAGCATGCGCTCAAACAGGAACAGCGTCCTCTCGTTTTTAGCCCGGTGGACCTTGAAGGTTCCCTCCAGGACCAGCTCCCCGTAGGTGGTGAGGTCCGGACCCTTCCAGTTCAGCAGCAGAGACTGAACCTCCTGAGGGAGGCAACGCACGTCATGTACCTCCTGCGTGTACTTCAGCAGAGTACTAGGAGTACTGAGACACACCTGCAGTCTGACGGCGTGCTCGTGTTTCCTCTTCATGTCGTTGATGTACCAGGCCACGCCTGTCATGGTGTAAATGGCCTCCTCCACCACCTCGTAGCCCGCCTCCTGGGGGTCAAAGTGCTTCGCTATCTCCTGAGGAAAACATCATTTTCATCACCATCCTCATCCTCTCGATCACCGTACCAATAACCGCCCTCATACCCACCACCTGTCAGCATTGGCACCTTTTCATCAGCGTACCTGGAGCAGCAGGTGGTACTTGAGGATCCTCTGGACCGGTTTCAGCAGGTACGAGCCCAGAGGCAGCGAGCGCTTCAGCGACGCCTGCCGATCACGGAAAAACTTGGCCAGACATTTGTTCCTCATACAGTCAGTGAGCGAGGCCACGGAGCTGGAGGACAGGTAGACACAGGTGTGAGCAGCAGGTACATGCAGAAACTAGAGACATAGGCCATCCTAATGTACTGTAGTAGACCATTATGGACTCTAGTGGACTCTAGTGGAGGGGTCTTCAACGGTTTTCAGGCCACGGTCCCCCAAACTGATGGCGAGATGGAGCAGGGACCCCCTTTACTACGGAGTTTGGTCCGCCATCTTTTATTTTTGAGTGTCGTATCAGCATGAATGGAGGGATCTGATTGGCTGGTGCCTGTGATGTCGTATCAGCAGGATGAGTGAACCGTCTCCTCCATCAACTTATCCGTTCCTACAATATGTTGGATTCATGTTAATGTGGATTTTAAGACAACAAATACAATTCTGATGAAGGAAAATTCCGTGACCCCCTGCAGTACCTCGCGGACCGCCTGTCGAAGACCTCTGCTCTAGTGGACCAGAACGCAGTGGACCGGAGACGACTCGAGCGGGGCTAAGGTAGTACTTACTTTGGGTAGTTGGTGCAGTACTGTGTGTAGATCTCAAAGTACTCACTCTGAAAAGGACAAACAAGAACAAGAACTCAGTTCTACTCGGTTCTGATCGATATCACCATCACTACCATCCTCCTCATCCTCAGCACCAGCTTCATCATCAATACTTCAATGGTTTATTTTTGCAGAGCTCGTTGATCACCTTTGATTAGTTATTGACTATATTCACCTTGAGCACGAAGCACCTGGCGACGGCGACCGGGTCGTTATCACAGAGATCCAGAGCCTGAAGCAGCTCACTGTGGACGGGAAACGGTCACCATGACAACGAAAACCCACTAAACGACAGTTGGATATTTCCTCAACAACCTCATGGTTAAAGGGTTATAAAGTTACAATCAGAATGATGGTATTTAAACATCTATAATTGAACGCAAGCTCATCATGTGACTTCTCCACAGTCACATGGTTACTTGGTAGTTCAGTGAGGTCACATGACCATCTCCTCTATTCAGCATGTTATTCTGTCCATCAATACACAAGGTTTGTGTTGTGATTTTCTCAATGAGAACATTAATTGATATTCTAATGGCCTGACTCCCAAATCCACCAATACGCACGTGCATGAAACGTTTCAACAGCACTCAGGA